TGCACTTGAGTCTGCCACAGCATGACCAGCTGGGAAAACACACATGATTCTGAACCTGCACAAAAAACCCCGACCGGAATTTGCCACAGCACTTTTAGAAAAGCCGAATGACAAAGTAGCGTTGGATAATATCTTCAACGATATACATGTCTCGATTCATACTGCTGCCGTATCTTTTCATATGACATATGATTACAATAAAACTGTTCACCGCATGTAAACGATCCTCATACAAAGATATAACAAAGTTACGAAGAAAGTTACGAAGTTAGATGTTTGGCATCGTAATGTCATGTTAATTCCATACAGATTTCGTTATTCCTTTATTCATTCAGTCACTCCTCACAAAACCTCCTGCCAATATCCAATGCTTTTTGAGCAACACGCTATGCTGCCAATGCATCACATTTGAATTTGACGAAGTGCCACATTGGTGCAAGGCTTGTATTGTGCGTTGCCACACATTGGATGCAGTGATGATCGAAGGTGCCTTATAAATTATTTTTTATTCCCAAAATTTACAAGGTGGTTATTTAAAATTGAATAGACAGAGACAAAACCTTTTTTGATTTATTTTACACAGCTGATCCCATTCTCATGTGTCATGAGTTGGTATGGATTCCAACTTATTGAATGCTGTTCGGTTACAAAATAGGTTGATTCTGGAACGCAGACAAGCTGTTGGTAGAGCACACTAGAGAATACTCCCACTTAAATGGAGTAAGTGCTCCACATTTCTTTGTGTTTTGAACTGAAATGGCCATCATGAAGATCACTCGGCGCAGCTCACCGACCCGCCCTTCTTCAGACCCAAACCCTTTTAGTTTCTGAGCTACACGCTCGCGATGATGTGCCGAGGAAATTTTTCGGGGAAACTATTTCAATGATACCCAGGCATCTCTGACGTCATAATAACGCCATTCCAGTCTTGCTTTTTCATTAGTCATGAGGCGATCAAGGCCAAGACCAATATAATTATCGAGTCGGCGTTCGTGACCACGATATTCATATATAGCGGCCGGCAACTGGCTTCCAGGCAATGTACAAGTTATGACCAACCAGTGCAAGTTATGATGACATAATCAAATAATGACGTGTTGGGGAGCATATTCACTAAACAGAAGAATAGCAAGGTGTAAAGAAGTCTTTTCCATTTACAAACATACCAATAGTTATAAGTGACCTTAGTTCAACATATTTGACACTTGCTTCAGTATCTTCAAACGTGGAACGCTCCCCTTAAGGCATGAGACAGAAAGTTTCTATGGCAAAAGACCATCGCTGGAAATGGCATCGATAGTAATGTCTTCAGGAGAGCCTGTGACACTCATTCCTTGCATAGTTACGATTCGTTACCACTCATCATTCGACTGAGCTGCCGTCGAGAACTTAGGGATGATGAAGCCGAGTGGATATCGATGTAATTTGTGAATTGTGGATGATTTCACAAAAGCATGTGACATGCCTTACTTACCACGATCATTTTCTTTCTTGGCATTCGATTCGAATTGGGAAATGCAGCGGCGCTAGTAGTGACGCGGTTATTGGTTGAACGTAGTAGTTTTCCTATGAAAAAATACAAGTTGGAATTTTTTGACAACTTGATTTTTTGAATTTTTTTCAATGGACATATGGTTTATTCTTGGACTTTGGATTGGAATTTGAACGAGAACTTCCAGAAAGTGGTGTCTTTGGTAGTGATGCTGCGGCGTGATGCTAAATGTTCTGAACCTCCACGGTGATGTGCATAATGGAAGGCCAGAAACTGAGATTAAATGCTGATCTCACATTTTCCAAATGAAAAGTGGTCGGTGTGCGCAGCAGGTTCAATTGACTCAGTCTTCTTGTGAATCAATCACCGTAAAGTGGGCGCCAGTTTTCACATTTTACAACATGATAATGCATCTTAGCCACACAAAATAACGCAGGGTTACTTTTTAAAGACTGTCCTGATCGGACAGCTTTGGATGATCCGCCTTTGGCAATCACACGGGTCAGAGTCAAGGAAATAAGAAAGTGGCGTTTTAAGCTCTCACCATTTAACAATGAGCATGACTTCGCGTAAAAGACCAACACTCCAACCCTCCACACAATACACCGCGCATTGCTCTCCCTACCACAAAAAACTCTCCCCACCAAACAGTACTCTCCCCACCACGCAGTGCTCTCCCCACCACAGTACTCTGCCCATCACCAGTGTTCTCCCCACCATGCAGTGCTTTCCGCACTACACAGTACTCTCCCCACCACGTACTGCTCTCTCCATCACGCAATACTCTCCCCACCGCACAGTGCTCTCCCCACCACACAGTGCTCTCCCCACCACACAGTGTTCTCCCCCACCACATAGTGCTCTACCCACCAAACAGTACTCTCCCCACCACGTAGTGGTCTCCCCACCACACAGTGCTCTTCCCACCACGCAATACTCGCCCCACCGCACAGTACTCTCCCCACCACACAGTACTCTCCTCACCACACACTCTCCCCACCACGCAGTACTCTCCCCACCACACAGCACTCTCCCCACCACGCAATGCTCTCTCCAACGCACTGTGCTCTCTCCACCACACAGTACTCTCACCACCACACAGTACTCTCCCCACCACGTAATGCTCGCTCCACCGCACTGTGCTCTCTCCACCACAGTGCTCTCCCTATCACGCAGTGCTCTCTCCATCACACAATGCTCTCCTCGTCTGTCGTGACCAGGGTCGGCTCTGTCTCACGCCACACTCTTTGACCGTCTTTCGCGCCTCATCTTCCCTTCGGGCGTCCCCGGGCCGCTGCCCGTCCTTGCGGCGTTCGCTTGGGCCGCTGTTGGTGCGGACAGGCTGGCACGCGGTGTGCGCCGCCTCACCACCACCCCGGGCTGAAGGGCCCTCCTCCAACGGCACGCCGTGAGTGGAGGGCGGCACATCGCCTCCCGCACAGGCTGTGCTGCGGCGCACCACATCCTGTGAAGTGCAGGGCGCTGTCCACTCCACGGCCGCTCCTATGTCGCTTGTCATTGGCCAGTCAATGACAAGCACACGCACGATGCTGGACACCTTGGTCTGGTCTGGTGAGTCTGTTCGCTGGATGCACTTGGCAAATTGTGTTACGTGTAGGCCGTAGGCGGGCCACAAGGTATTGTATACGTTATGTGATAGCGCAACATATACCACTGAAACTTCCACAGTTCCATCGGCCTCACGGATACCAGTAGCCACGCGTTAAATTGTTCGAGACAGCTTCCTAGCGGCCACACCACGCAGGTTACTACGTAACAGTTGTCAGAGATTGGAACTGTGTCGAGCTGTGCCATGAGTGCCCTTGACATCACAGGGGTGCCCGTTTAAACCAGGTTCAAGGACATGTCACACTCGGCGCGGCCACCGACCTGGCGCTGCGTGGCCGGCCGGAAGGGCGCAAACCATGTAGCCTGAAGCATTCTCTCCAGCACGACAGCGCCGCGTCATAAACTCGCCACCGTCGGTCGGCAGCGGGTGGTTTGAAACTTTGAAACATATCCGTGGTTGGCACGCGGCGAGCTGGCCGTTCTTTCGCCCTCATCCAGTTCTCCGCGTTGTCGTTTTTACCAGACGAGCATTCCGCGGGGGAGCTCCGGGATGGGTTTGCGGAGCTAACTGCTTTCGGTGAGGGGAGAGTTAGATTTGGGACGGTGCTTTGACCTTTTGCAGATCGGGTCACAGCCACAGCTTGCGCGACGCAAGGACGTTCAACCTTGCCGGCAGGCACAGGCACCGAGCCCCTGCCTACGACTGGGCTGCACAAATCCTTTCAGGGGAGACCGTGCGGGTTCGGTGGATGCTGGGATTTAAAGGTATTGCGCGCATGCGCCAGAAAACAGCGCCATTGTTTGGCTTTTCTGCAAGCAAAACAAAAAGAACAAAGTAAGACTAAGCGTATTGCAGAGGCCCCTCAGTAACAACGCATCCCAACTGAAGGAAATGTTCGGACCATGACAGCAATGACAAAGGTGACAGGAAGTCCTGCCAAGCTACCCCGCCAGCATACCGCACTTAAGATGACGTTTAAGGCTACCTCGATTTATCCATTTGTTGTCTCCAAACAAATATCGGCCCATTTGGAGGTTATGTCGCTGGCATCAAATAAGTGCATCCTCCAAACACATGCGTCGATGTTGCACATTCGCTGAGGTGTATTGGTAGGCAAATGAAAACACGACCAGCTCAATTATTCACCGACATATAACACATCCATGGGAACGGACACGCATGCACGCCTATCAGAATTACGCTTATTGCAAAAGTCCTCCACGCATTCAAAGTACAGTGGAACAAAAGGGGGCATAGTCATAGTTGTCGATTCCTGCACAGACTAGTATAAGGAACACACTACACCATGTAGTTTGTTTTGATTGAAATCGTGCACCAGATCTGACGATATTTACACAAAATAGCTCCTACATCGAATCGAATCTGCAATGAAAGGTCCTCAAAATACCATTCATTACGAAAATGGAGTGCAATTGCAAAGGTTGTCAAGAAGTGGGCGACAAAATGATAGAACATTGCATCCAATTATTGGATTTTGTGGAATTGCAAAGGCGTGATTTGCACGAGGACAAACATGAATTGTTCGAAAAGGAAAACAAAACACTCCTTGCAATCTATATCATATTCTTGCCGTCTAATTGTTGCACTTGATTGAATCCATGTCATCTGTATCACTTAAGTGCGCCATATCAAAGGACGCAGATGCCTCACATCACAAAGGACAAACTCTAGTCGTCAACATCGCTGGCGAAAACGGCTGTTTGCAACGAATTACACAAACGGCGATGCTCCGAACTAACCACCCCACAAACACATCCAGGGTCGCCGGTATTGCTACAAATAGCCCAGCTTCGGCCACGGAGTGCTGTCACGCGCATGACTTGTTCTCTACGAACACACGGAGCCCGCGATCGGCACCAGAGGCCGAGAGCCACCGCGCGCAGCGCCCCTGACGGCGGACGCGCGAAGCAGGCGCCGCTACACGAGCGTGTCCAGCACGTAGCCGGCCGCCGCCTCGTCGCTGCTGCTGTGTAACGAGCTGAGGCCTGTGTCGGAGTTCGAGTCGCCGTCGGCGGCCGTCGTCTCCTTGCCGGCCGCGTGCGGCGGCGGTGCGCACGTGTACACGGGGTTAACGTAACCGGCGGGGGGCTCGTGTCGCGCCGGCCGCTGCGTCACCAGCAGCCGCTGTTCGTCCGCCAGCAGCCGGCGCTCGTCCTCTAGCATCCGCTGTTCGTCCGCCAACAGTCGTTGCTCGTCCGCGTCCGCCTCATCCAGCTCGTACTCGAGGTAGCGCACGAAGCGGCGCTTGTCCTCGAGCGCGCGCTCGCACTCGATAAGTGAGCGTTCGTTCTGTTCGATCTCGGCCGTCTGGCGCGCGCAGACGGCCATGAGCCGCTGCAGCTCGGCGCGCGAGATCTCGAGCTCGAGCACCGTCTGCGACGCGTCGCCGTCGTCGGGCTCGGCGGCGGCGCGGCGCGCGCGCTGGCCCAGCCGCAGCGCCGCCTCCTCACGCTCGGCGATGCGTCCGTTGAGCTCCACGATGCGCTCGAGGTATTGCAGCGTTTGGCGCAGGTCGGAGACGGCCTCCTCCTCGCTGACGTCACGCGGCGCGTCGCCGGCGTCGGCGCCAGCTCGGCGCCCACACCGCTGTCGTGACTCGCCTTCTCCGCCTCGGCCGGCTCGCCGTCGCGGAGGTACGTGCGGAGCAGGTAGTCGGAGCCGAGCCGGTCCTCCCTCATGCGGTGCATCTTGTGCTCGTAGTAGCCGATCAGGTCCTCGCGCTCGTGCAGCCGGCGCAGCTGTGCCGCGATCGTCTCGCCCTGCACCAGGATCGTCTGCATGAGCCGCTCGACCACGTCGGGGCGCGCCGCACCCTCGGCGTCGGCCTTCGGCGCCAGCTTGCGGGGGTGCACCGCCTCCAGGCTGCTGGAGCTGCGCCAGCGGTGGCGCGAGTGCCGCCGCCGCGGCGTCTTCACCTCCTTCGGCGTCAGCGGGCTGAGCCGCTTGAGCGTGAAGCGCACGTCGGCCGTGTCCTGACCCCAGGTGCGCCACACCTTCTGGATGCGCGCGCCGGCGTCCAGTGGCCGCTCCACCTGGCGCCAGCGCTCGACCAGGCCGTGCGCGCGCAGCTCGGCCTCGGAGGGCGGCTCGGCGCCGAGCTCAGTGGTGAGCAGGGCGCGCACCAGGTCGGCGCAGGTGGTGCGCCGGCCCACGCCCGTCACCCACTTCTCCACGCCGTTCACCCACACCGGGATCTCGCAGGTCATCGTCATCTGCAATGGACGAAGGCGCGGTCAGTTGCGGGCTACCTTGAACGGAACGGGCGGAGTTGCGAGCGCTTTGTTCCCGGGTGGTCCTTTCATTGTGGATCAACGCCCACGAAAACAGTCACCTCGTGGAGAGCGTCGGTCGGCCTTCAGATAAACAGGCAAATCAGACTGCCAGCCTGATCACGGCCAGCCGCCGACACCTGGCTTAACGCCCGGATCCAATCGCCCAACATTCGCAACGCATCGCCTCAAACAGCACGATGAGGGCAGACTTCCAACGCACCACCGCAGCTCCTCGCACCAAGCTTGAGCCCGAGCCGGAGCCCGAGCTCCGCCAGCCGCGGCAGCTCGGGCCAGCGCGCGGCGGCGCCGGCCGGGCCGCGTGTCGCCGGAGGGCGTCGCCCCGCCCACGCCCGGCTACCGGTGTCGATACGATCAGAGGCGCCCGCGCTCCGGAGGCATCTCAATAGCGCAGGCGCCCCGGGCGCACCGGCGCCGCATTGACACCTGGCTGCACGTGCAAGCCCGGGGCGCGCCGCGACTCCGATGCAGATCTGGGCAGCGGCCCAGCAGCGGGCGCGGCATAAACGAGCAGGGACGCTTGTGCAGCGGCCAGTCGGCTAGGATTTTCAGCTCATTGACCGACGCCGGCTATATCAGCGCTCTAGGCATAGGTTCTGCCTGCAAACCTTCAAAAATTTCATGGAACACGAATGTAATAAAAGATTGTCCGGGTAAAACCTAGCCAACAGCCCGCTGCCGGTGGCAACAACTTCCACTTAAACGTCACGTAGGTGGTGTTGTGGGCGGACGATGGCAGGGATGGCCAGAGAGGCCCGCCGACACGCGGCAGGCGCTGCCCAAATTTACACCCAAACGGTACACATCTCCGATGTACGGCCGGGATTGTGCAACACTGACGAAAGGCGCCGTAAAGCGGTGAATGATTTCATAGACGCGCTGTGTGAAAGGAGTGATTGAATGGCGTTGATAGCGGCGGCTTATCACACCGATGTAATCACAGTTCGCTGGATAAGGCCAGCCTTGGACGCGCGCTGCAGCTTATTGGGGTTACGCAACGCCGGTCGAGACAGGGGATTTCATTAGCTATAATCCCAGCGTCAGAGACGAAGTCTTGCTTGCACAGGCTACATTGTATGTTAAGTCGTCAACGTGTGAAAGCGAGTCGATTAGATTTTGCAACGAGTCGATGAATTCCAATAGTCACTGCATTCAGGTTATTGGATAATGGTACGAGCCTGTTTCACAGTTCTGCATGTGTCTGCAGAATGTTGTGCGGAAAATATGGCAATAACCCGGCAAACGCTCCTAGAAAGCTCCAGGCCTTCTCTCCAACGTTTCTTACCACGGCGACTTTGCCTGCATAACTTCTTCGAAGATCTTCATCCACCGAGCCTTGCACCAGCATGTCACCAGGATTCACACAAAACAACCTACCAAGCTGACCCGCACCATGGACCAATGTGTTTTGTGCGCTTCTGGGAGGCTCCAGATCGCCGCTACGGCCCAGACTGCAGTCTCGCCCGGCCGCGTAGGCCCGCCGCGCTGCCCGCCGCGCCCCGAGCCCTGGAGACCGCCGCCTGAATCCCGAGCCGCCAGCGGCCCATGACGGTCCGGCCCCGCCCACAGAGCCCGCTAATCAACTGTCATCTAACGGCGCACTCCGGCCCTCAGCTGCCACCGGGACCAAACACCGACGGACACGCGGACCGGCACGCCACGGCGCGCCGGCCCTCCCGCCGCGAGCCGGCCGTGCCCAGACGCCGGCCGACCCCGCGCTGACACACGTCCCCGCCCCGGTTGGCGGCCGCTGCCGTGAGAGCGCTGCTCACGTGATCGCCGGCCAGCGCGCCTCTCGGCGGCGCGGCGGGCAGGGCGGGCCCACGCCGGCGGTAATTGCGGCGACGGCGGTCGCGGCCTGTGCCCTGGGGCGCCATCTGAGCGCGTTCGTCGTCGGCCGCCCGCCGCCGCCGGCTCGGGGAGACCTTGGACGACGGAGGGCGGGGACACCTGTCACGGCCACTCATTAGCGGTATGCTAAAACGGGCGCTGAATATTTGGTCATAATCGGCCGAGATCGCGATTGTGGCGCGGTGATTGCGATTGCGGCGTGCTCTGTGAGAGCCGCGCTCTTACGTTGGTGGGGTCGAGGACAAGGCCGGCTAGCAGTCTCACGCCAAATTGGGATAAGGAGCACAAGCTCTTGTTGCAGTGCAAACTTACATCCCGTTCCCACGGGAACCGCTCAAGGCAAAATGACACCCACAGCAAGAGACCAAACGCGTCATTGCAAAACCTGGCCGACTTGACAAAAGCGGTTGGTTACATTGAAGGAACAAACGATTCGGCAGCGTGTGGTCCAATGCAGCAGCCACCTATTTATAGAGATGAGATTATCATATATATATATATATATATATATATATATATATATATATATACATCTTAAGTTAAAATAAAGATCAAATAAGCAAAGCAAAAGAAATGCAAAAGGGCATCACACACACACACCACACACACACCCACACCACACACACCACACACACACACACACACCACACACACACACACACACACACACCACACACACACACCACACACACACACACACACACACACACACACCCACACGTACACACACACACGCACGCACGCACGCACGCACGCACGCACGCACGCACGCACGTACGCACGCGCGCACGAACGCACGCACGCACGCACGCACACACACACACACACACACACACTATATATATATATATATATATATATATATATATATATGCAGAGAGAGAGAGAGATATATATCATATATGCAGATTAATATATGTATATATACGTTGTTATTATATATGCAAATTTACATATATATATAAAGCTGCAGTACATATTTTCCGGACATGCAAGGTGCTGGCGGATCGGAAGCCCGGCTCTCGAGACGCGCTCGCTGCCTTGCAGAACTTCACAGATATGGCTCACCAGTTGCATACTTCATTTTGAGCTGACTTACAGACGCTGTAAAATGTCTGAGCTCCGACAAATGGACTCGGCACAAGAACACAATGTACATCGCGTAAGCAGCCGGTCCCGTTATTATGACAGCAGAGTTCGTGGATCCATGCCTCCCTGACGAGCTTCTAGTGAGTTTTTGGATATGCGCGTGGACTCCCGCGCATGCGCACACGTCAAACCGCATGCGCGTACGTGGAGAATACAAGCATTATCCACGCGCCACACCACACGCACAACGCGCATGATAACGCCGACCCATCCGCACATATCTCACGGCTTTGAAGTCCCCGTCACACAAACCGCTGCCGGGGCCCTGATTCCCCCCACACTCGCGGGCCCACCGGCACCTCCGCGGCGGCCTCCTCAAAGACGAGCGGTCCGACTGTAGAAGCACATTTGCGTGCCTGCATGAGGGCGGC